TCCAACTCCTACCATTCCGTGATTCTGTGTTAATAGAGAGCACCACTCTCTTTTGTTAGTGGCCAGACTAGCCCTAACCCATAACAATAGGTCTATGGCTATTTAACGTTTCCCTCAGATTCAGTGTTTCATGTTGACTGAACCACTTCCCTCATGAGCAAAATAAAGAATATTTGAGATATTGTCTCTTCCTACCACTGAAGTCAGTTTTACCAGAAATTTCTTTACCTATTACTATTCTAGCTTCACAGCTGGAAACATACACAGCCCTCAAAACTTTCCATTATTCATGCTCTGCTTTCTGAAAACCGTGTTTGCGTACTGACCATATTTGCATGTTTTTTAAAGTAGCTGGTGAAGTGAAACTGGTGAATTCAAAATGGGGGTGGGGTGGGTGTTGTTTGGGTTGTTTTGTGGGGTTTTTTTCCCCTAAAAATAGTATAAAGATGACATATTTTAGGATCTGTGAATGTCTTTTAACTTTTTTTTTAGTTTCCCACTGTAATAGGAAGATCCATTAGAAGAGTTCTTATTTTCTTCAGAATACTCATAGTGCAGGAAGTTAGACCTATTTTACTACAGACTTTTGAAGATGCCAATTAGATTTATATCATTCTCCACTTTATATTTGTGTTTTTTCTTCTTAACAACTTTCATATCTTATCCATATGAAAATGTTTAATGTTTTATTCTTAAAAAAAAAAAACAGTTAAGATCAGATAAATATTAAGAAAAAAGGAAATATCATCTACGTAAAGAATTACAGTTGGTAAGCTACTGCTTATATTAAAGGTACTTTTAGCCACTTCTCGGCACTGCTAAGACACACCTATAAAAGCATGAAGCAGAAGTAAAGCAAACAAAGCCATGTTGCCATTTTGTTCTATAGCAAATCTACTTGAAATTCAATTCCAGTGTAATGCAAGGTGTATTGGGAAAGAACACTTATTATTTTTTGCTCCGAGATGTCATCTTCAGTTGGCAGGTATGAGTGTGAGCAAGCTACAACATTTTCTAGGTGATATGTTCTACGTTAGAATTTGGTTACTGTCATAGCACACATACAGTAAGTGTTTAGGAATGGAGTCTGGGTGCATACTACATTCCCTGGGTTTTACAGAGGACTGTTCTTTGTGCAGGCTGATAACAACAGAAGTCTAGAGATTGGGGAAACCATCTTAAAAGGAATACTACAACTTTCCTCTAGATCTCTGCTGTGTAGATAGGATAGACAGTACTAAAAAGCATAGAAAGTAGGAGGAGAAGAGTAAAGGAAGGCTTAGGAAAGTGAACCATGGAAGAAAATAGATGCAAATGTTTTGCTGTCTTCTTATACAACTAGAGAACGAGCTCTGATCAAAAGCTGGAAATAAAGCTGCTCTTTTTTTTTTTTTCTTCTGATTTTGATTGTAAAGCATAAGGAAAATAATCTCTTCTGAAAAGGATTTTTCTGAATTCAGGCTTCTGGATAACTAATCCCACAACATATTAATCATGTCAGTATGCAGATCAAATGCATTTCCTTTAATTTACCATGTAACAGAATAATGCAAATATTCATCAAGTACTGCCATCTGATATTTTTAACAGTCCAGCTTTCTTCCTACAGAAGTGGAGCACAGTTTATAATGTTACAAAGAGACTTTCTGCTTTTCATCTTTTAATACTGACAGTATAACAAGATTCTCATAAAGGTTTCATGCTATTAAGAGAATGATGAGCCTAATCTCCCAGAAAAGTTGAATAGGAGGCATGTATTTATGGTTTCTTCAGGCATAAAATGTTCTGACACTAAGCCATTATACACCTTTTTGCACTAGCATCCATACAACAGTGAAACATGATCAAGAATGTATCTTTTCCTTATATCTATTTGAGAATTTAAGAACAAGTGAGTGGTTGTCTTGGGTGGGTTAAAAATAATGAGGCAGAATGGAATAAATTAACGGAGCTAGAGAGACATTTTTTAGATAGTTCTTTGAAAAAAATATTTATGACTAAAGCTTTAGAGATTTTTTGCTGTAGTCTACAAATGTATTCTAGCAAAATAGCTGCATTTGAGTTGATGCAGGATTATGAACATGGAAATTATCAGTGTTAACAGAAAATTTAAAAAAAATCTACACTGGATAATATACACATTTGTATATAAATTTCACTATGGATTTGGAAAGTGCAAACCCACATCATTTGACACAACTGTTCATGAATTTACCCTACAAAGTTTCAAAAGAGACATTCCATTGGCCAGTTATGGGCAACCTCAAAGATATGCTACTCTTTTTCATTTTTGTTCAGATTAATATGAAAATCCCTACTCTTGCATGAAGTGATACATCTAGAAGGTTATATATACATTTCAACTGTCTATTAAACCTTATGAAACAAAAGTTCAGTTACTTCAAGTCTTAACATTATTACTTAGGATTATGATTTTGAGTAGTATAGTAGATTTTAATGAAGCTTCTCATATGCCAAAGCTGATCACCTTCATAAATATTTATATACCAGGCCCATAACAGCTTTGTTGCCTGTGTCCAATATAGAGTTTGATTTAACAAAGAACTTAAATATTCCTTTTATTTCAAGAACTAAGTTGTTGTTGTGTTGTACTGAATAAGTGCATGAATAAAATTAAAAACATTGCATATCATGGATTGAAAAGTCTTTCTAACACTAGATGACACACAAGACAGTACACAGACACTGTCAAAATGCATTTGAGTAATTGTTTAAATGCAACTGCTGAAACTTGCTAATAGAGTGATATTGAACCTAAAAATTTCAGCAGTGATTTTATTCACTGTACAACATCAGGCAACAAAGCCAACCTGAAACTTGGATTTCGGGGGGGGTTGGGCAGTCGGAGAGTAGGACCTGGCTCCACGGCTACCACTGTGCCACCGCCCCGGCGGCCCTTTAAACCCGCCGCGTGCAGCCGCCACTAATCAGCGCCAGGGGCTTTAACTCGGCGGCCAATAGGAGGCGGGAAGGGAATGCCTTGGGCGCGGAGCACGAGCCGGACCAATCAGCAGGCTTGTGGGGAGACCACGTGGACGTTGCCAGATTACGGCACGCCACGTAGCCCGCGAGGCTATGGCCGCCCGCAGCGCGGAGAAGGAGCCGCCGGAACCGGTGCAGCAGAACGGGCTCCTGTGCGAGCGAGTGCGGAAGGAGCTGCAGTGCCAGCAGCTGCACACGCAGTGCGCCGTGAACCCGCTCCACTGCGGTGAGGCGGCGCGCAGGCGTCCCCACGACCACAGAGAACTGGCGCGAGGCCCCAAGGGCAAGACAAGCATTGCACCGTGCCGCGGGGCTGCGGGCAGGCTCCTGGGCGTGCCTTCCTGTGGCCGGGGCAGGAGCGCGTCGCGGAGCACTCAGCTGCGTGTCAGAGACAAGCAGCTGCACCCGAGAATGCCAGCAGTGGCCAGTGAGAAGGACAGATCCGGAAGGAGCAACTGGCGGGCTTTTTTTTTTTTTGCCTAAGGAACCAGTCTGAACACCCGAAGTCAGAATTTGCCCAATTAGGCAGCGCCTTAGCAAATGTGTAGAAGTGAGGCAACTATTCAGAATCTGGAACCCACGGACCCTGAGTGAGCAACACAGAGCTAAGATGGGGCAGAGGGCCCCAACACTACACCATGTTTCTTCAGCCCCTGGGGCTAACCTACAACTATGAGTTGACAGCTACCTGTCAACTCATAGTCATAGGATATCATATTCTGTGCCAGCACAAAAGGGTGACGTGAATAGATTCAGTCAAGTCTATCTTTTAGAATGAAACAAAAACAAACCAAAGGAAAATAATTTCCTGAAATCTGGCACTCTGCAGGCCACCACTTGGGTGGGGCAGAACTTTTGCTGTGGTGAATGCAGGCAGCATCCAGAAGGGCCTTTAGCATGCTTAACCCCGTTCTGTTTCTAGGAAGTTGCTACTAGTACTCTGGACTCATTTTGTTCTGCTCATATGCTGTTCTCCCTTTACAACTTCAGTGAAGTAGCAGGGCCCAGACTGGGGAATAATCAAAAAGAACATTTGCAATGATAGATATCTTAGACCTGGCTGTGATGCTAAATTCACATGAAAGTAATTCACCTGCATCATTTCTTTCCAGTTCACACAGTCACCAAGAAGTTTATGTCTTGGCATGATAATATAGACGAGCCGGCAGATGGTAAACCTCTTGTGACAATTACATAAGAAAATGACTAATAAATAAGATTAAAAATTCCAATTAGTCTAAAAGATGACACATGGAAACACCCCTGTGACAACATAAGAAAGTTAAATTAATTCATTACTTTTGTTAAACATAAGGCAGGTTTTTTTCCACTTTAAGGCCCTTTTCCATTATTTTTCACTAGTACAAGCTTGCATTCATGCAATTATGCTTTTATTTTTGTTTTTAGTTATCATACTATAAAATTTTGCTTGAGAATCTAAACCTCTTTCAGGGGAAAACAAAAAAATTAGAAACATGTTTTAGACATACATGTTGCCTGTCATTGCAGATTCTACCTAACCACCACATATGGTAAAACGCTGAAATGGCTACTGAGTCTTGCTTTAGTGCTTTAATAACAGAAATGCTTATATCTAACATGCAAATTTTGTCTAAAAACCTTAACGGTCAGTTAAGGTTGGCCTACACTAGTCAAGGATTAGGAGGGGAAAAAAAAAAAAAAAGAAAAAAAAACCCAGAAAAGGAAGCAGGTCTCAGTCAATTAAGATGAGAGCCAACGTGGAGTGCTGGTTGATATTAGATGTAGTGTAAGAAATGTAAGATGCTGCAATACAGTAGACAGGGATGACAGTATAGGCAGGCAAATCTTCAAACGTCATCAGGATAAATTTGAGTAGAAATGTCACCCTGCATTCTCTTACAAGACCATTCACAGAAGAACAGAGGTTGCCTCCAACCTTAGCTTTCTTGCTATTGTTTGGACAGTATTAGGATGTCCCACTCTAACATACATCCACGGGTGACCGTTTTTTAAACACACTTTCTTTCATTTGTATTTGCATCTCTTAAACCAACATCCGAGTTTCTGAATCTTATTCACCATGCAACACTGGAGCCAACAAAGAAATATTCACAGCCACAAAGTGAGAAGCCAAGAAATTGGCTGGAACACACCACCTTTGGCGAGTAGAGTGCTTAAGGACTCAGCTTTTTGCAGGATTCAGAGAGTCTTTCACACTGAAAGATATTCATGCAACAAAATAATTTGTGACAAACACGGGAAATAAGAATGATTAGGAATGAGCAGAGCTGTTCATGGACAAGTTTTTCAAGTTTACACCTAAGAGGACTATTCGCACTGGCATAGGCTTATGAACACAGAAACAGCTTCCCCTGAGAAACATGAATGTAAAATATCTACAGTGACAGCTGACCCCAAGCATATTGCCAAAATGCCACATATGTAGTCACGGCTGTTTATTAAAGCAGTCATGAGAAATGGCGTAGTGAGCAATGTGAAGTGACATACCTAAGTACTATGAAACGTGCTGCTGTACCTTATCTTTCAAATAAATTGCAAGCAGAACCTAAAATTAATAATTAGCTAAGTATACCCGAGGCAGAACACACCAGCGAGGATTCATTTGGGAAAGTGTGAATAAACAGAAAGAAAAGAAATCTTATTAATAAGCTGAGACATCAATCATATCTGACAAACAAATAGCTGTGACAATGACTGACTTTGTAGATTAGTGTTTCAAGAAAGGCAAATGAGAGCCTGACTCATTTTGGCCTGTTACCAAGAAAACTAAGATAAATAAGGAAGTAAGATAGTCTTCTGCAACTTTTCATATTACACTCCAGGTAAAGTAGTTACTTATGACAAGGCTAGAGACAGATGTCCCAGCAGGGCTTTACGCTGCTAGATATCGGTGGTAGGATTAGATTGACAGGAACAAGGCAACTAAATTTGCATGTAGGGAAATGAGTTAAATTGATAGATCAGGACTCATGATGCTGTTTCATACGTTGTTTTCATTTTTCACGAGGTTCTACTATAACAAAGCAGTGAACAGTATATTCTCAAATAAATGGTACCCTACTTGTTTGTCACCTGGGCATTTCTCAGCAGCAAAAACACAGTGCATCACTTCTAAGGAGAAACTACTACTACTGATTTTAGTAAAAGGACATGACTATTCACCATTTTTCTTTCCCAGATTCACATGGACCATATTGATTGCAGATTCTACTTTCCACACCGGACAACTGATATCGCTAAATAAATGGCTGGCATGGGGAGTAACAGTCTGAAAACTTGCAACTCAGATGGAAACAGCCCTGCTTGTTATTAGGTGAGTTTGGCAGATTTCTGGCAAGAGAAGATAGTAAAAGGAAAGAGAGAACCTCAGTCTGACCAGATTTGCAGCCTGACAATAGTTAAAAGAAATAAACCTATTATAAGATTGCTGCATTTGTCTCACTGCTGTTTCCAAACCCATCTATATAACTAGCCTAAAAAACCACTTTATCATCTTGACAGGCTTCAGACTTCTTATTTTGACATGGGCAACATGACCCAGAACTCAAGTTCACCAAGTACATGTCAACAGTAGCTGTGGAAAAAGCTGTCAGAATGAAGGGAACAAAGGGCAGGCTTCAGCCACCATTCATAACACAGCTAAACATGAATTCCACATCATTCTGTGCAAACCATTTAATGCGTTCACACATCAAAGGTTTAAGTAGAAAACAATCCTTCAACAAAACAGACTGTAAGAAGAAATTAGCGATAAGGCACTAGTTTCTGCTGACTTTTTTTTCTTGCCACTTGGAAGCATCCAGCTTGTTCCACAAATTAGCTGCTTGATGACAGCAGAAACACATCTTGCAACACACAGAAACAGAGGAACCCCACCAGGGAGCACAGTCCTCTTACTACGCTTGGCTCTTCATCTTCTGCCTTTCTCTCTTTCCAAGTCTCTTCTGAAAAAATAGACAGATCCAGATCTTCATTTTCATGTCCTCAGTCTTCGTTCTAGCTCTATAGCTTAGGGAGTATACAAAGGAGAGGATATTTGTCATTACCTCTGGAGAGGGAGGTTTAGGAGAGGATATTTTTCATTACCTCTGGAGAGGGAGGCTTTGAGACACAGGTAGCAACAAACAGTACTTGCTAACTCCCCCACTCATTTCCTTGCCTCAACACCAAACCACTGTCCTTAACTCTGTCTGCAACTGAATTGTGCTGAGCTCCCAAAGACAGGCATTGTTGCTTCCAAATGCTGGAGGCACCCATTAGGTACTCAGTTCTACCTCCCAGACAAGGACTGGCTTCCTAGCCAAGCAGGATCATTTACATGCAACATTTCAGTTACATTGAGGGCTTTTTTTCCTCTGTTTCCTGGGCCTTTGTTGAGAGCCACTTTTGACCGGAAGCTGGATATGTCATTAAAACTCTCCATTGTGTTCCACTTTGAGCCCTTCTTCTTCCCACCAAAACCAATCTTCTGATTCTTGTATCATCTTTTCGCATTTGGTCTGAAAAACAACCGAACAGCATCATCACCTATATTCCTTTCCTCAGGAAGCATTCAAGAAGGCACATGTATCTGCTGATGGACTCTCCTCTAATGGACATCCCAAACCTTTCCCCCCTTACTGAAGAGACAGAAATTAGCACATTTCAGTCTCCGTTCTGTTAAAGAAGTGCAGTCCAAACCCTAGGTTTCCCAAAGCAGAGTTTCAGGCATCGAATCTTACAAAAATTAATAATTTAATAGAATGGTACAGCAGCAGGGTCAGCTTGAGCTGGGCACCTCCAGAGGGGGACCCCAAAGAAAGAAATCCCTAGACATTTATACCCTTACAGACTATGCATCCACCCTTCATGCAATCTTCATGTGCTGTTCACACGCCCTTTGGTCCAACAGTGATTCTGTCCTCAGATCCTCCAACACCTTCTGACTCCTTATTCGATTCCTATTCCACTGTCTCCAGGCAGGCTGTTATCTTGACTAGTTGCACCTGCTATTGATGGTTGTAGCCTCAAAGCTACAGGCTTGTGCTGGCTCTGGAGTCCTTGTCTTGCTTGAATGGATGCAAGTTCTGTACATGTCAAGTAGACCTAGGTGAAAGTTTACAGCTTGCAGCCTTCAGAACAGCTTTCTCGTTCCACAAAATGATCCCCTAAAAGACTGAACAAATCAGAGAATCTGCACTTAAATATCTTTCTTTTCTAGTCTCACCCCTTCTTTATCTTGAACTACCCTTTTTTATTCCCCTGAGATGATGTCTGCTCTTTATCTAGAAATCCAGCTTGTCAGAGACACCTACAGGAGCAAAGTCATAACAGCTGGTCAGCTACCACCACAGAAAACACAAATTTTCAATCTAAGTAAGTAACAGCAACAAGTCACTGTCACCAAAGAACAGCTACTTGGGAGTATTTTCAAGGCCACTGGCATATGATTCTGTACAGTAGCAGCCTTTCAAGCTCAGTGGCCAGCACTACAGATTGACACCACACATCACACTGCCTTACACTGCTATCATCACTACTCCCATTACACATCTGCGCTCTCAGACAAGTTAGCTTTACTTTCCTGGTACTTCTTGACAGCATTCAATGTCTTTTTTTTTTTTTTTCTCCTTTTGTCTCCTCTGCAGAATCTCAGTTTGCACCTGAGATTAGAAGCAGAATGTTAGTGTTGTTCCTTGTAGTGTTCCATACTTTTTTTCTTTTTACCTTTTTTGGTTTTGTTTTAAAAAGGTATCCCATCTTTTGCTATGTCTTCCTTCAAAGCAGCAAGACGAAGAATAGACAAATTCCATACATTTTAGCCAACTTCCTGTGGTCTTACTTTCTAAGCTACTCACTCAGGCTCTAGATTCTTGTCACACGCAGGCCTCTTTTGTAGCTCCTCCTCACCTTCTTGCCATATTGCACAGAGCTGTTTCTCTTTTTCAGACTTCTCCATTGCTTCCTGTTTACTCTTAAGCTGCTGTCAAATCTTCTTAGAGGACAGAAAAAACCTTATCAGTAACACAAAAGAAAATATGATCATTCTATGATTGCTATGCAGTCCTGATATCAACAATTATGTGAACTATCAATGAGTGTAAAACCAAAAACATCTCTTAATCCGATAACGGTTTATAAGGCCTAACATTCTTTCAACTCAAAGCTGGAACAGTTATTACAGAAACTCCTGAACTGATCTGTAGCCGAAAGAGAAAACTCACACAGAGACAAGACCAAGCCTTATAATGGGCTCTAATGGAACCGTTAAACAAGAGTGTCTTGTCACATCTTGTCAGTTTACTCAGGTGTATGTAGAGACTTGACAGTTTCTTTCTCAGCATTATTAAAAGTAAAGCACTGAAGAAGAGTCAACAACCCTTCCATGCCATGGAAAACATCTATTTTGTTCCCTCCTTGTTCACAAGCATTTCTATAAGGATGCCGCATTACAAGGGATTACAAAGATTTCAAACAGATGATCTGGATTCAGACTGTCACTCCACTAAGAGAAAAAACTCTTCAAACAAAAGCCAGCAAAAGAAAGCAATAGTAATGTGCAGAATTGACTTAAGCTTCAGCACAAGCTAATAATCTTCATCTTCTCTAGGAAGATTCTACAGCCATCAAAACAGTGACCAAGTCATACATGAACCTCCAAATTAGATTCCAGCTCATGTTTGTTTAACTTATACAACAGAGGCTTTTTTTCCAAAACTGAAACAAAAAATAGGGTTCCATTTTGAACAAAGACCACAATCAAGAAGCAAGTTCCTGAAACTCTGATTTACTACACAAATCTGACTTTCTACCCATGACAGATTAATTCAATAACACTCAGTTAAAAATCACAGAGAATCAAAACACACTAAGTATAAACAATATACTTAAATAATGAAAAAGGATCACATTAATACCATAGTTGACTGCAAGTCAAAACAAAATTTCAAACAAAAACATTGTCACAGGCATTTGTCCAAGAGATGAAGATAAATATTCGCACGTTACACCTTAAAGTTAATCCCTAGCACAGGCTAAAACCAACACAATACACAGGAAAGAAAGCCATTATTCACTGCACATACCTTCTGCATCTATTGGTCTGATTTGGCCATCTCTGCAAAGTAATCATTTGGCCTTCTAGTAGAAACCTGGAGCTTATGCAACCTAGGTAGGGCTTCCAGAACCTCTGCCTGAGCCTGCTGGTAACTGGGAGTCAGCTGTGCTGTCACTGTCACTGAGTATCAGGCATCTCACAGCACTGACAGAAACTCTGCTCACATAAGCTAGCTGATACTGGGATCTAACAACCATTGATCTAGAAATATATTAATATGCTGTGCCCTACACCATTCAGTGTTATTAAAATCAGTATAGGTGCCAGTACAATATTAACACTTACATCTTGCACATATGCATTTATCTAGTTTCCAGTTGTAGTTTTGTAAGCTGGATTATAAGGCAAAGATGGAAGTCTGCTGCAAAAAGGAGAATTATTTCCAATCACCAGACAAGTTAAATATGCTAACATTAATTTGTAGTTATTTTGGAAAACATTCAGAGCCATCAAATGTAAAATACATGTCCCAAGAATGACATGACACTGGTGACAAACAGTGTGGAAGTTTGCAGCACATCTGTGAAACATGACACGAAGCACACAGCAATATGCCAAGACCCTATAAGAAATCTCCCTTTCTGACACTTACAAGCTCATCTCTCTCTGGAAATCATTCTCAGGATCAACAGCATCTTTGTTAGAAGCACTCTATAAGCTGGGGTCCATGACCTGGCCCGAAGTCACATCCAGCCTTTCCACCCAAGCTAGCTGCTGCTTGAATTCGGACAGGCACTGCCTGAGGCCGTCCTGTGAAAGAAGCACAGATCTGCACAACACCGCACGGAACCACCTCCCCAAGGCTGGCCTAGCTGAACATCCAGGTCACACCGTGGGGTGCTCCTCCAAGGCCGCTGGGTGATACCCCAAATCACCTTAGGAGTACAGGAACCCCGTAAGCCTGCCCTGGCCGGCGCACCGTGACCCCAGCCCCAGTGGGGCCTCCTCTGCCCCGCCCCCGGCGCTGGGAGACACGGGACCCGGCCCGGGGTTTCCGCCCTGCCCCGGGAAGGCGCCGCCCCGCCCCGCCCCCTCACCGCGTCGCTGCGCCGCTTCGGCCGCTCCGCCAGCACCACGTTGAGCCCCTTCTTCAACGCGCCCCTCGAGAGGGCCTCCTGGACCTGCGGAGAGGGCACGGTCAGGCTGCGCCGCCGGCGAGGCCTACGCCGCGGCTGCCGGGGAAGTCCTTACTGCCGGGCTCGCGACCCGGCTCCGCCACCGCGGCCACGGGCTCACGTCCGAGTCCGAGAGAGAAGAGTCGTCGGAAGGGCAGCTGAGCGGCCCCGCACCATGCTGCCCCTGCTGCCACCGCCTCTTCCGGCCGCATGCACGCGTCTCCGCCCCTATGTTGCAATACCAATTTGGAAAGAATGTGAGCAATGGATGTGAGAAGAGAGGCGTACAGAGACTGATGCAAACCTGAGTGGTTATTGGTCCTAATGCATCAGCAATTTTAAAAGATCTTCTCAAGTGTTACCCATGCTTGTGTTTTCTGCAGCCCGAACAAGTTTGCTGATGTTAGTATTTGGGCCAGGTTCCTAACTTGAAGCATCCAAGCCTTAAGAATATTTTTTTTTTTATGAAGAATTTTTTATGTTTGTCTTAACAGGTTTTAAAGTTACTTTAATCCCCTAAGAAGTTAAGTTACCTTAAATGTTATTGCTGCAACTGAAGAGTCCACTAAATATAGATCTTCCTAGGAGAAATATAGTTACAATTAAAGAATTCTCTTCTTTATTGGTCTCTTACTGTTGTCTTCTCTAATGTTTGCTTTCCTTAACTGCAGGCAGAGGAGGATACAAGGCAGCAGCTTCAAGCACATGAAGAAATTAAGAAGCAAATTGAAGAAGATGAAGGCAGAGAAACTGTGGAAATCAAAATCAAGTATGAGAGATGGCTCTTGGAAGAAAAGGAATCAAACCTGCAACTGAAAGGAGAAATAGGAGTCATGAATAAAAGGGTATCTCTCATTCTGTGATAGAACAAGACCTGCATGTGGGGACCTATAGCTGAGGACTGAATGTGATTAATGGCATGTCAATTTAGTCTGTGAATTTAGTCTATAAATGCATGGTATTTCATGTGAGAACAGTGACCTCTTCTTATATGAGTTCAAATGTTTTAGACTATTTGGGCAGAAGAAGAAGCTGTGTGCTGATTGTATTGTTGATATGATTAGAGACAGATGACAGAGGAGATGTGTTTCTATTAGTACACTTTATTTTATCTTACATAGTTTTAAATTATAAATAATGATATTATTCATCCTGTGATGGGAAAGAAATGAACCTTTTCATTTTTCCAACATCTAATGCATTGCTTTGTTAGAAAAATACTTCTACTGCTTCATTTGATGAAAAAAACCCTGTGTTTCATATGTGTCATAATTTTTTAATTGTTTTTACTTGGATTTTTAAGGAGGCATGAAACCTTTTAGCTGTTTTACTGACTGGGTATTACATTTGCCTAAGGGACATCTTTTCCTTCTAGTTTCTTCAGTATCTATCTGGAGACAGGTTCTCTTCCTTCATACCCTCTACTATCATGGTACTGTCTTCAGTTCCGCTGTCTTATAGACACCAGGATTTTCTTCATGGGTCCTCACAGTTTGACCAGCACTGTTTCTTGATTGCGACCTCCTTGACTTCACAGATCTTAGTACTGAGGCAGCGATACCAAGAGCTATGAACTAGGCACCCATCCAGTCTACTTTTGACATCTTTAGAGATGTATGACAAGTGATCACCTTAAAATAATTTTCCATGGCTTGAGTGTTATTTGAAGATGATGCTTGGGTATAATATCCATACCCTTGCTTCTGGATGCAAATTCCTTGATTACTTGTAGTGCAGTGAGTGTTCTGTCAGAATATACAGAAAATGCAAAAATGTATCTTCAACCCCCTTTTGAGTTATAGGCATTTAAGTGATGTGGTGCTCCTTCATCATACCTTGTTTGATGTCCTTTATCCCACACTGTCTACAAGGTATTTACAGAGTAGAATGGCTAAGTTGTGCACAGCTTCTGGAGACTGTTAAGTTCGTTCTTATTTGCCTCTCTAGTTGAACAGCCTACAGAAGGAGCTCAAGGAGCGAAACAGGGAGACTGAGGAAATAAGACTGGAACAGCAGAAGCTGCAAGGCATCATTAAGTCACTGGAGAAGGACATCTTGGCACTGAAGGCAGAAATTCAAGAGAGTGCTGACACTATCCAAAACAAGATGAGAAACTGGACAATTGGCTGAGATCAAAGTCACTTTCCCTTAATTTAATAGTATTGTGTTGTGATAATATCACATGACTGGAAACTCAGTTTTAACTTAAAGAATCTGTAATTTTAGTTTTTAGTTGACATTCTAAGCTTTTCTTGGGGAGCTCAAATTCAGGACATTGACTTTCTCATCCCCTGTTCTGGGATCTGTAGGTGTCTCTCTGTATTATTTGCCCCCTTCCTTCCCACCCAATCTGTGTAGATATTCTCTGTAGTTCAGTCTTCCACTATATCTGTGACTGCTGCTTTTGCCTCTACCATATTGGTGCCTTGGCCTAAGGATCTGTTTGAGAGTGCTGTGTCTAATTCAGATCTCTGTATCTATTTCTTCCCGAGGAGAAGCATATAGATAACCTAAAAAAGAAAAAATCAGGAACTGGAAAAGTTTGAGTTTGTACTGGATTACAGAACAGAGGAGTTTAAGAAGCAAATAGAGTCACGTGACAATGATACTGAAACAATGAAGGAGCAGATCCATGAGGTAACACTCATTTGGCCTCTGCTTCTAAGTCCTTTGTCTGAACACAAAGATGACCTGACAAGTCCCATGGAAGACTCTACCCTGCTTGTTCCTTGACTCCTTTCAAAGACACACAGCACCGATTCATTATCTTTACAGCTAATAAAAATATTTGTGCACAATAGCTGCCATTCAATTTTCTATCACATGCTACCAGTGATCAGCACAGTTATTTAAGCTCCTGTTTCAGTATTTAATTCTAGACTCTTGAGTAATATCAGTTTTGCTTAAAAATAGAGCTTTTCCTTATGTGGTTGCCCTCCACCTACCCTGTAGAGTTTGCAAGACACTGCCTTTACTGATCTGGAGGAAGAGAGAGGGAACTTCTTCTCTCAGAAAAGCTGCAGATTTATGCGAACAACTCTGTTTAGGGGTTAGGTACGTGGACAAATTACTATTCATCAGTGGAATTTTCCAGGATCCGTGGAAAACTTCCATGTATTCATACTTAGCTTGCAGCAAATTCATTGAGGCAACTTATTGATGATAGAAACTTACTGTGATCTGTCTGTAGATGTACCTTTAGCTCAGCCAAGATAGGACTATGGTGATACAGCGTATCAGTTTTCATAGGTCTGTTTATTCAGAAGAAAAGCCTTTTAAATAAAATGAAAACAAATGATCAATTCGTATATATGTCAGACTAGCATGATGAAAGCCCTGTTCTCTCTTCTAGTCACTGTCTTATGCTCGTAAATGCTGGGGTTTTTTCCCTGTTCTACCCACAGCTTTTCAATGCATTTGTTTCTTTCCAGTACCAGGTTCTTCTTATTGTTGCACTTACTCTTTCCAGTATTGACTTTTAATTTCCATCTCACCAATTTTTATTCAGATGGAACAGTAAAGCTCCAGTTCTGCTCAAAGAAATTAAGGAGCATCACATCACTTAAATATGTGTAACTCAAAATGGAGCTGAATATCCATTTTTGTGTTTTCTGTGTATTCTGACAGAGGGCAGTGTTGTTCCAAAACTGACTTTTTTCGTGTTGGAGTTCAACCTGAAGGGGGACCTACTCCCTCGAGTCTGTATTTCTAGTCTCTGGTTTTCCTGTTATGTGTTGTTTTTTCATGTCTCCTTTTAGTCCTGGTTTCCTCCTCCTGTTTCCTTTCAGATGGAGGGGGAGCCGGAACAGTTCCACAAGGAGAGCACACAGTTGAAGCTGAACATCACACAACTGCAGCAGAAACTAAAGGCAACTGATCACAAGATGCACAGAGAAAGGCAGAAGGTATGGGGTTACAACCACCATGCAGGTCCTACAGAATGAAGTTTGTGGGGACAGAACACTGCAGAAGCATTAATCTGAGCAAACGAGTACTTCAGGGATACTGTGTCCAAGGGCCAAGAGAGTCTTTGATCAGTGGGAATAAAGACAGAAAACTTCCAAGCCTGCAGCCAGGTTAGAGAGTTGATATTAAAAAAATCCAGTTATTTGGGTGTCAGTTTCTTCAATCAACACATACTCTCCTTGGTTTAACAGAGCAGTGAGGCAAATGCTTAACTGACTGCACTCTCCTGCCCGAGCTTGAAATCTGGGAACACTTGGCCTAAACAGGAGCAGCATGTAGGCTATCACCTACAACAATATCTAGGTGTTAGTAGGATGAAATGAAGGGTGGGCTTATGAATAGAGGAGACAAGCTCTCTTTGTGTTTGATAGCAAGCACGTCAGACATGAGGGAGCAAAATGGACTACAAGTGAAGGTGAAGGAGCTTAGCAGGCAGAACAGCACTGAGGAAGCAGGTAGAGGGGTCTGGTAGAAACCATGTGAGAATGAGAAGGCAATCTTGATGTGAAATCAAGTTGTGCACGTGTCTGATATGTGTTTTGCCCCTTGCCTTCTCTTATTAACTGTTTGTGTGTTGTTTCTAAATAAGAATGTAGGTTGTTTGAGAAAGGACAGTGAGGGATAGCATTCATGATGATAAGCCACTGGTTTTCAGGTGAGATCTCTGGATGCTGGCACTTATATTACCTAATGCAAGTATCTGGGATTATTATTACTGCTAAAATTTACCACTGCTATTTTGACATGTAGTGCTCACATCCCCACCAGGTTTTTTAATGGTTTTGGGTTTTTTTTAAATTCAGAGGAAGTAAAGCGTATGAGAGCTTTCACCAATTCTGCTAGACTTTCTGGAATATTGCATGATGGAGTCCTCTGATGAGCCAATAACAATGTACCTACATCATTCTTGCAGAAGCAAAATATGGAAACTCTGATCAAATGATTTAAAACAGATCTTCATAATTGTGTGGGCTTCATTCAGGATTCCAAAAAAATGAAGGATGGGATGCATGAACTCTACAGCAATTATATGCAGCAGTCAGACTTGGTGAGTTAGGGCCTTTGCCTTCTCCTTGCAGATTAATTTCTCTGGTGGTGTAATTACTGAGGCAACATGCTGTGCCCCCTCAGGTGGAGACTGAAGCAGCAGACACAGATTTGCAGCAGGAGTACGAGGCAGCGACAGTATCTTGAGAGGAATTTGGCAGCTTTAAAAAAAGAAGGTGGTGAAGGATCAGGAAATCCACCAAGCTGCTTACAGGTGCATCCTGCAGGTAATAAGCCTTTTACCTATGGTATGGGGAGGGAAAAAGGAAGCAGCTGCACAAAAGAGACTTCAGTATCCCTACTGCTATGGTTTCTTAGGACTTTGAAACTGTTTTGTTTTGTTTCCTTGCCAG